ACTTTCTCGGTTCGAGGGAATTCACCCTCGGCCGCCTATTAACACGATTTTCATGGGACGAAAATTGAAAAGCAACGGGACAGCGTTAATCGCGTGTACGCGGAACGTCCATTAAAACCGGGTCAAAACACCTTCTGGCACCCGCTGCCACGTGCGAGCGGCCAGTGCGGGCAGAACTGGCTAAAAAAATATACGACAAAACAGAAACAGAAACGGAGTGGAATAAAAGAGAAAAAGAGGAATCGTTTTACGAGGGTTGTTGGGTGTACGGTGCGAGGGAGAGAAAAGGGGCTCGTGGAGGAACGCGATGGAAAATCCACGTGGATCCGCGAGAGAACCGAGAGAGAGAGACGGCGGCGAAAGAGAGACATCGGGAGATACATTTATGAATTGCCCCATTCACGGAATGCGAATTCTCGCTCGGCAAACTTTAGGGGTCAACGGGTCGGGAACTGTTAGGTAGTTCTCCCATTGCTCGTACATGCGTCCTCCCACTACCTACCGCCCTCGCCCACCCTCGGAGTCGACCGCCACCCTCGCTCCCACCTATATCCATCTACCTCTCCCTTTCTCTCCCGTTTTCACGGATCTCGATACATAACGTCGGCCGAGCGTCGATATATCGAGTCGCGCTCTTTCGAAACTTCCACCCACGCGGTTGCATTAACCCCGAGCATTAAACCGAGCGAGTTAAGAACTCGAACTCTCACCCTCTTTCTCTTTCCGCCGGTTATTTCTTTCTTTTCGGTACACCACTTTCGGCGCAGAGAGATGACCCTCGACCGCGTGGGAGGGTGGAAGTTTATCACAGAAGATCTTTTACGGTTGCAACGATCATCGAGAGAGAAAGAGAGAGAGAGAGAGGGAAAGTTAGCGGGGATAATCGTCGTTCAGAAGTCGCAGACTGTGCCGAGCGTAGCAGAAAGAGAGAAAGAGTAACGGAGTCGGTGGAGGGGTAGAGCAGCAGGCATTATTCACTTTGCGGGAGTCGCTTCACCGCGGGCGTAATAATTTTCTTTTTTATGAATGAACTTCACTCTCCGCGCTCCTTCTCTTTCTCTCTCTCTCTCTCTTCCATTCGCGTCGGTTTCTCTCTCCGGCTTTGAACGTACATTCGTCTTCGTCAAAGCTGGGGGTCTTACTTTCTTGCGTTATCTCTTTGATTTTCCCATTCAAGGAAAAGCTGCCATTCAGCAAAACGTTCATGTTGGTATACGATTTTATTATGATCGGTCTAACCGATTTTAGTCAGAGAAGTTCAAGGGAGGAAATATATAAAAGAGAAGCTAGTCTGTGTGTTGTCCCCGGATTTTCGGTCGTCTCGAAATCGATTCTACATTCCATGCGCGACCTCTGATTACAATAAGTGTCGGAGCATCTGCGGCCAGAATGGAAGCTCGCGCGTTCGGATAACTTTTTCCCTGGCGCAGGTCAAAAACTATGTTTTTGGGTTGGGTTAATACCGTTTCCGGATGTCGTAAAACCGAGAAACAGGGAAAAACCCATAACTCAACGAGAATTATTTATGACGATTGGTCCGTCATACAATTGCCGTATTACTATCGTGCCGTCCTCCAGGTATACGACAACCTGGTACCCTAAATTTGTAAAATTCTACTTGCTTTCATTTTCAAGGAAGCAAATAATTATGTACGCGCGCAAGGATGACGAATCAAAGTTACATGAGCGCCGAATCCCTGTTTATGATCCTTTCCTAAAAATAAATACTTTCTACCTGTAGTTGTTCAAACGCGATGAAGTATCTACGCATAAAGGGACGGATAACGGAATCGAATTTACCCTAATTTCGTAAAAATAAATTGCTTCTACTTGCTTTCATTTTCAAGCAAGCAAATAATTACGTGTCCGCGCAAGGGTGACGAATCGAGTTTACGAAAGCGCCGAATCCCTGTTTATGATCCTTTCCTAAAAATAAATTCTTTCTACCTGCCGTTGTTTCAACGCGACGAAATATCTACGTATACAGGGACGGACGAAGGAATCGAATTTACAAGAATGGCGGTTGCCTATTGCCTCTCCCCTTAACCGATACCGTACTTAATGATCTAAAAGCAAACTTCCCCGAACGTGACTTAACTCAATCGCGACTGGACAATAAAGGAAAGGGTTCTTCTAATTCCTGTCCGAATTGACCGATAGTCTTAATCTGACTGTTTCTTGGAAAACTGAAACCCGCGATGCGTCATCGGTGGGACGGTAAACATCTACCCTCGAGTACAATCGGAGGCCTTCCCATTGTCCGTACGACTGCCCTGCAATTACATTGCTAATCCACGGGGTTATACCGAACCTTCCTCGCGTGATTTATTTTACTCTTTTAATTTACAGCTGGAAGTTAAGTTCGGTTCGGAAATCCGTATTACCTTCTAATAACAAGAACACTTTCACTGTTTACTACATAGGAAGATGTATTATGTATGTAGTACGTATGGATGAAGTTCGGAGACTTTGAACTTCGCGCAGGGCTCGAGGTTCCCGGATCCCGCAAAGTTGGAACGACTTTCCGAGGAAACTTTCCAATGGGGAATAAATCGAAGAAGCGCGGCGGAATTTCAAACTCGCTGTCGTTTAGCCGCGCTATCAGACACGGTTAACCAGACTGAGACAGAGTCCCTTCCCGTCTAGCAACGGTCAAGTGGGTAATACGCGATTCGGTTTCTTTATTATCCGGCGAAATTAATCGAGGCCGTTTTCTCATCCGGCACGAGCGAGCGCATCTTTCGCGGAACGATCGCCACCGTTACGTCCGCGGAGCGTGTCACGTAGCGCGTAAAACCGTTCTCCGCCTCTCTCTTTTCTAAGGCGCATCCTTCCACGAAAGGCCGAGCCGCGAGGGAAGCAGGTGAAAATTAATTGTACGGGTTACCGGCTCGAAGGAGCACACGGCTCTACCTCGGCGTTGTCGATGCGCGGCGCGCAAAGTGCGCGTACCCGAGAGGACGTGTCGATCGATTTTGCCCTCTCTCTCTCCTCTTCCGCGAACCGTCCGTCCATCCCATCCGTTCCGTCCGTCCTCCGCCACCGCCGTCGCCCGTCTCGCTCTCTCTCACTCTCTCCTTTCTCTTTCACGCCTTCGTCCTTTCCCCTTTGCGCGACTCTCCGTTCGTTAATCGGCCGCCGTACGTCCGACGCGGACGCGTCTCTCTTTCTTCCGAGGGAGACGGAGAGTCACCGATATCGAGATCGATAAGGTGTATCCGGTGACGTTCGAGCCGCCGCTATCTTTTCGATCTCCGCGCTCGAAATATTTTCGTTTTCTCGATAACGGTATTGCGTTACACACACACGTCGTGCCAACAGAATCGGTCGAGATTCCAGCGAAAATCGGACAATGCATCAGAACCGGCGTGCCTCGGCCAAGTTCGTCCAAGTTAACGACGCGACCAAGATTCGGCTTAGCTCTTTTTTCCCCGGTCAGTCTCTATTCACCGCCGTTCTCCCTTCGTCATCGACGCGGCGACGTTCGACTTTGATCGATCCTTCTTGCCTTCTTCGATTCGAACCGTTCGCCGACGCGTTACATAAAACGCGAAGACTCCCTCCCCTTCCCCCTTTTAACTTATGCGCACCTGTACCGTTTCGGAGTACGCGGTTGTTCCCGAAAGCAACAGAAAAATCCTTAGCATTCGCGGTATTCCCGATCGGAAGCTCGCCGTGGTAAACCCGTCGTCCCCTCCGTAATCGTCGAGCTAAGTAGGACTCGTTGGAAGGCCATAGCTGGCCGCGAGTCGAACGCGAGCGTGCGTGGCGCACGATAATTATCGGCTGGGTAGGGCGACTCGGCCGCGAAAAAGAAATCGACGTAGGTTCCGGCGGTGTCCGAGCGCGTATTTACCGCGGTAAATACGCCGCCGGAGGCACAGTAAATTTATCCGCGAATTACCGCCGCGTTCTTTCTTACACGCTCCTTCTCTATCTCTCTTTGGCCCTCTCTTTCTGGCGCCGTTCGCTTACGGATTTTAGGCCGCGCTCATAAATCCGGCTCTTCCCTAGGGACCGCGCGTTGTAGGGAGAGGCGGGTCGGATTTAAGGGTTTTGCCACGGGTTCGGTCCTCCTCCTGCTCCTCTATATTTCAGAAAGAGTGCGGGAGGGAGGGTCAGGGAAAAATGGCGAGAGCCCGTAGGTCGCCGGAAAGAGATCGTAGAGTCGCGGGAAATTAAACGAGCGTTCGGAACGAAAAAATCGCGTCGCTCGTAAATTTCACGACGGCCAACTCGCCTCTTCTCGTTCCCTGCCTGCGAACGATCAGCCGACCGGAAACTCGGACGCGCCGAGCCTTCAAGACGGTCGCTCGCTCAGCGACTATTCAGGATAAATACTCGATGATAAATATCTACAGATAGTTCGTTGAAAAAATATGTTTTCCACGTCGCTGAGGGGTAAAACTTTTGTCAGCGCGGTGTCGTCGCCGCGTGGTTCTAAGGACGAAGAACGCTCCGGATGACTACGTCAACGTCGATGCTGTCGAGGCTGGGAGAAGCGAGGGTCGCGGACACGAAGAGGGGTTTTAGCGGATAAGGGCTCGGGGAGCGAGAGACGAAGCGCGCGCGGTTCGACAGCACATCGTCGAAGGAACACACCGGGGGACGGAAGAGAGGACGCGAACGCGAACGCGGACGCGAACGAGGAACGGGAACGCGAAGGGGCAGGGGACAGAAGGGCTGTGTATCGGCTAGGAACGAAGAGGCGAGGGGACAGGGGCCGAGGGTCAGGAAGGGACGATAGGCAACGGCGCGGAGCGGCGAGGGGTACGGATCGTCGGCGACGACGAAAGCGCGAGGAGGCGAGCGCTAAGGCAAGACCGAGGCGCAAGCTGGGCTGCGACGACGACGTTCGTTCGTTCGTCGGTGAGCGCACGGGTGTGCGGCGGGGGAAACGGGGGAAGGAAGGGCCGAATGGCGCGGTGCCGGATGGTGGGGCGAGGGCGGACAGAGGAGGAAGACGGCGTCGCAAGTCCGCGGAAAGCCGGCGGCGACCACCACCGCAGTAGTTGAGCGTCGCGATCCGCCGCGAGAGCATCGTCCGTTGTGAGTACTGGCGCGCTCCCACCCCTATCGTGTGCGCGTTCCGTTGCCTGTACAAATACAGCGCGACCTCGCACACAACCGAGCAGTTTGCTGCGAGCAGTGGCATCGGGCTGATCGGCAGGGATCGTCACCAACTGTACGGCACAGGTTCGGCGGCCGAGTAGTCGACGAAGAGCGACGGGACGCGACGCGACGACAACGCGCGCCCCTAAAAGCAGTTATACTCGAAGCGACCAGTGGCGATAGACGTGGCGCGCACAGACCGCTGCCGGTTCAGTCGAGGTCGATCCACCGGCAGGTGAGGATCGTCGGTGTGTCACGGTCTTCCATCAGCGATCTTCAACATTCATCGTTCGATATCACGGTTGTGCATCGTCGCAGTTCCGCAAATAGGTGTACGCGGTATTCAACGTCGGCTTGAGTGTACGAAGAAGAAGTGTATCGAAGAACTCAGTGGGAATTTAATTAGTGAAGAAGAGGCTTTCGCGTGTGCCACGCTTGGCATATCGTTATCATCGTTGCGAGTCGACTTGTTCGCGATCAGTGTTTTTCGTGGGACGAGTAAAATAAACGTCGCAGATTCTCATCGATCATCGTCGAGAACGAGAATAGAGATTACAGTACTCTTGGATATTCAGCGAAATTGGTGCGACGACTGGTGTTTCGTGAGTACGTCCTTGACGTCCGTCCTTTCGTCGAACCGTCGCGTCGAGACTGTGCGCGGTGTTTCTTTTTTTCTTTCGCCTCTGGCAACGTCTCTTTCCCGCGGTCAGACGCTCGAAAGTTCACGCACGCACAGGCGTAGCGCGACGAAGATACCGAACACGCGCAGTGATCGTCGGTGACCGTGGACAGTTCGCGTATATACACGCGCGGAACGGAAAAAACGCGTGGCTGTGTCGAAAGTGTGTCCGCGTACGTACAAACGTTGCGAGGAAAACTGATCCGACGCGATCTGTTCTACCGTTGATCGTGCGTGCACATATAACTGTATCATCGTCCTCGTCGCGCACGATTCGATCTTTCTCAGCTGTTCCTCGTGGCGGCACAGCAATAATATCGTTTTCCCGCGCGCAACTACGATTGGCTGATACGAACGAACAGCAGAAGGCAACGTGCTACTCGTTTCGTACTCCAGACGGAGAAACGCATTCGCAAAACGAGGAGAGAGACGAGCGAAGGAGAAAGGAGACAAAAAGAGATAGAGAGAGAGAGAAGCAGTTATCGCGGAGGAAGGTATGTGCGCGAGAAGAGCAGACTAAGAAAGAAGAGAGCAGTACGAGCACAAGTAGAGGGGGTGGGCAACAGGAGGGGAACCGGCCGACCGAGTTGTTTCATTCATAAAAAAGTTCTTTATTACTCTCTGTGAGCGCATGTGCTATTCCACGGAGGACCTCCCCCAACCGGCGTAACCACGTTTACACACGGTATTATTTACTACTGCGCGAGATACGAATCGCTGCCACACGCCGTGGCAACGGTACGGCGTACGGATCTCCCGTATCGTCGCTCGTTCTTCGCGCTCTATCACGCGTGTTTGGCGCGTTGATTACGCATTATCCGATTGTCATCATCCGGGCGTTCGTTCAAGAAGATCTTGCCGATATTCCACCTTAGGAGACGACAACCTTATCGATATTCGTCGAAGGAGAAGGACGGCGCTCGAGGCATACCACGACGGCTCACGCACACGCGAACGATCGACCGCCGCGTAGTTGGGTTCGCGAGCTCTCTCTTTCTTTATCGGGCACGTCGCGCGCGTGTGTCGCCTGTCTCGCGGACGAGCAATTGGAATTCCTCGCGTGTCCACACGCAGGCCCGATATAGTCGGATGGCGCGATCTGGAACGTGAACGTCGATCGATCGCCTTCTCGCGCGTCACAAGACCCGAAGAGGCTCATCGTGACGGTCCGCGACAAACGCGCAAAGGAAAGAAAAAAAATACGTTGGACGACGCGCTTCCAGAAGACGGAGTGTCGCTCCTACGAGGAACCGAAGAAGGAGCCATCCTGGATCTAAGGACGACGAATCTGGACGTTTACGTCGACAATCCCGATCGGGTATTGGACGGTCGCAGCCGGTTACGCGACAGGGATCGCAAACCTACCAAAATAGATCCTAAAGCGTCCGACGAGGGGTTCGCGACGACGGAGGACTGTAGTTACGAGGACCGTTTGCAAGATAGTCGCCTGACCGGAATGAGGGGCGAATCGGCACGTCCGGGTAAGCGCCCTTTAAGGGCGCTATCCGCTTCCGAGAAGATGGATGCGATACAGAGGGTCCACGAGGGAGAGAGCAAGGCTTCGGTGGCACGGGACATCGGCGTACCCGAGTCCACGTTGAGAGGATGGTGCAAATCTGAACACAAAATTCGAGGAATGGCCAGGAATTCGTCGACGCCAGACAGCGAGGCTCATTCACCGGCCTCGTCTTCCGGGGCGAACGTGACTGCTGGCTTGGCTAGCGGATCGGCGAATCTATCCAGTGATGACGATGGGCCGTGCGTGAAGAAATCGAAGCTAGATCAACAGAATTCGGTGACGAGCGCAGGCACCTCTTACGTCGGTGACGTTTGCGTCGACCCGGACAAGCAGGACAACAAACCGAAGATCGACTACGTGGGGTTGATGACCAGCATGGCGGGCATGAGACCCGAAAACAGCTCGCTGCTTCTTCAGCAACTGGGATTATTGTCCGGCGCGACCGGCACGCTCGCTAAAAATCTGCTGAACATGTCGCCAGCCCTGACTCACGGTAGCACCGTGGGTCTCGTCGAGAACGGGCTGCAGTACACGAAAAATACCGGGAACGCGTGTATCACGAACACTTTGAACGGCGGCAGCAAGAGACACAGCATCTCCGCGATTGCACCGGCGCAGATGGACTCGGTAGTCTCTAAATCGTGCACGCGAAAGAATTTGCCAGCTGCCGCGGAGGCCCCGTCGACGCCGGTCCCCGTGTCGCCGAGGAAGAACAATGTCAATGAGAACAACATCCCACGATCTTCGAGCAAGTCGAAAAAAGATGGGAACGTGAGCAGCGGCAACGTGAACAACGGCAATAAGAAGGTGGACGAGGCTCTGTGGCTCTGGCTGACGCAGCAGCAGCAGCTGCTCGGCCAACAGTCGGCCAGTTTCAATCCGAGCATCAATCAGCAAGACGGATCATGGTTCTGGCAGTGGTACAAACAGTGCAGTTTCCCGCTGATAACGCCAACGCCTTTAGCGCCCAGTCCGGTCGCCAAGAAGTCGCCGAGCAAGGCGAGGGCCATGCTAGACAACGTGCTGTGCAACAACAACAACGAGAACGTGAAACGGGCTCTGAACATGGACGAGGAGTCGTCGGCCGTGGCCGATGACGTCGAGCCTGCTACCGGCGACGCGCCGAGCAGCACCGAGGAGGCTATCGAACACGGGGAAAAGTTCTTCAAGTGGCTGGACAAATGTTCCGACCCGGCCGTGACCAGGCTCCAGATCATTCAGTTCAAATATCTGTTGGACAATCTGAAGGCGTGCAGGAAGAAGTCGACGTCTAACTCTAAGCAGAGCAGAAAGTAGGCGAGGGTAGGTGAGGGAGTCGAGCTGTGATGCTAAATATATATCTTTAGGAAAGAGTGCGTTAGCTACCGTGCCTCGAACAACGCGGTTCACGGGGCGGAGAAAAAAAGATAGTTAGAATTCGATGGAGACGTACACACGAGGAACGAGGAAGTAAAGAACGCGGGACAAAGGGACAGCGAGAAATATCAAAGTATTTTTCTCTTATTTCATCTTCCGATATAGCTGCCCGCGACAAACTTTTCAAATTCCTTCGAGATAAATTTCTTTTTTTTGGGGGGGTTTTTTCTTATTCTTAGTTTTGTTTCTTGTCATTCGGTCGCGTCGATTCCCGAGATCCGCGTATCTCGTTTCCGACTAGCGCGCGAGTATGTCCGTGGGTGTGTGTGAAAGTATGTATGTATCCAAAGAGTGAATATACGACGAACAAGGGAAAACTGTTGCGTTTGTTCGCCGCCCTCGACGAACGCGAACGATGCACGATCGTGTGCCTCTCACCACGTTTTGTCGCTACTTTTGAGTTACCGTAGGACTCGGGCCGAATCAAAATGGGTCATTGACGACCCTTCGTTTTCCTTAACAAAATCTTGTACATAAGAGGATATACCAAATTCGTGAGACCGACTGGTGTAATTATAGTAAAAGTTAAGATGTTCGTAGAGGAGAGGTATTATTATCAATTACGACTTTTATCATTCGTTAGCGTAAGTGCGCGCAGCCGGGAAACTCTCTCGCGATCAGATTTAAATACCATAGATCTTCTCGACCGTTGAACAACATTCGCGTTCCGGATTTTCATTTACATTCTCTTCGCATTATTCCGCCCCGAATGTTGAAAATCGATCGGGATCGCGTTCAATTTAGTTTCTCCCCCGCGTTTTAATTATTGCGCGGCTCTATTCGAAAGAACAGACAACCTGTTCACATTTAATTGTGAACTGCGCTTTTTTCCCAAACAGTTCTACCTCTCGTTCTGTTAGCGCGTTATTTACGTACAGTAAGAGTAACGATAAGATTTAAAGTAACGTGTGCACGCGACTCGCACGAAACTATATGGTCCAAACGAAACAAATGAGAGAAATTGAGGCGAAGCGACGAGAAAACAGTGTTTGTTATATCGATGAGAAATTATATATTATATATAAGAGTATATATATATATATTATAAATATTTAAGGACCTTCGTCGCTTAGCTTTAGTAAGATATTCGATGAGAAAGAAAAGGAAACACGTTTGATTACTTACTATACTGAGCGGCTTGTCCAGTGGCTCGTACTCGACGTAGTCGCTGACAAACTTTCCGCACCCCTGCCACGTGTACAGTTCCGGATACGGCAGCGTACTTCGTCTGATAGTGGTAGACACGAATTTCTGCACAAGAACGAAGCGATTCGAAACTATCAAAATACATTTCTATCTTGTGATTTTGTTTTCTAACTCCTCTACCGTTTACTTTGCTTGCAGCAAGATTATACGCGCGCCCATGACTCCCCTCCCCCTTTGATCTATTTAACGCGACTCTTACCGATATTTATTTTGCTTCTTTCTTTTCGCGCTACGAGTCAGCAGATCTGGCGATGGTTTCGCGAAATCTTTCGAGGCTCGGACCATTTACAAGTTCGTTTCTTTCCTTCCTTTTCACGTTTATCTAGTATCGTCTCGTAAAACGATTGTTCCTATCGTGTCGCGCGAGACGTCCGTCGGTTCAAAGCGAGAGATAATCTTGCAGTTAGCAAAGCGTATTTATAAAAGCAACAAACAACAAAAAACCAAAGTGAAAGAGAGTGCTGTCGAGTGACAGTACGTGTAAATAAGACTGTGACCGTGCACTTGCACGCAAAGTGCATACTATGTATCGTAGAATGTTTGAAGCATGTACGGATAAATGTATAGCGAAGTTTATTTTTATTATTTAGATCGTAGAGGAGAGGAGGTTCGAGTGTATTAGAAAGATTCCTATTGCACAGTTATTTCCACTAGTTGAATTAAATCGGGCACGATTGACAGGAGTAACGATAATGAGAAACTTAGTCTGTTTGAAGAGAAACGACATTCCTCGTTATCCCTGACAAAAAAAAGAAAAAAAAAACACGTTGGACGACTCAGGCGATTTTTTCGATATCGATAATTTTGTTTAAGTTTTATACGAACGAATGCATTTGTATAACGCTGAGTCGAGGGAGACATTCATCGAGCGTACCACGAAAGTGAAATAAAACGAACTTGATCGCATGATTCTTTTTTTTCTAATTTATCCTGTATGAAAACAGCAAACAGAATCGGGGAGTGACGCGAGATAAACACGAGTGGGACCGTTGACGATGAATCGTTGTTCAGTTTGTAAAGTACACGATTGTTTAAATGAGAAAGAAAACTCATGTTGTAATGTGCAAAGAAGTGTGTAAGTGTAAATATATCAGGTATAATGTACAAAACTATTCGAAACACCTTTTAAATTAATTATACCTTGTCGAGTTTAGTGCGCAAAACGCGTCCACTGTACGTTACAATCCGCCATTTTAGGATACTCGGAGAGTTAGGAAAATGATCTTGCGTGATTGGTCGTGAAAAATTAGATGCGACACGCGCGGCCAATTTCCCGTGGCTCGTGAGAGATTGGCGCCAAACCATTGCCGCCGAACTTCACGCGATTCGTAAAGATTGATTTAATTTTAATGAGATGACGAAAAATATACGAATAAAAACTAATCACTGACTTTCAAACCATTATTAAAACATATCCGTCGTCGCGATGCGAAGACCATCATAAAATGATTATTGAATTACCTGTATGCCGCACTCGTTTTCGCACGCGAGTATCAACGGCCGCCGTCTTGGGTATTTCACTTGAAATTGCTGTCGGAAGTTTTCCGCGTACCACGCGAGCAGCCTCTCTTTATCGCTGAGAGTGCAGTAATTATTCGGGAGCATTTTCAGATACAGATCTTTCGTACGGTCGATTTCCGGCCAGCATAACTTAATCAAACCAAGCTCTTGTTGCGTCTCTTTTATCATTTCGCGAGTTACCCGGAACAGGCTATCGTACAAGACTTGATCCAAATCGGATTCCCTCTCTCCGGTGAACGTCGAACCACTTTCGTAGCTTTCATAGTCGTAATTCGCGGCCTCTTCTTCCATGATTAATCGAACGTTTCAACGAGGTTAGACGACGTTTTATCACGACCGCGACTGCCACGAGACAATGTCAAAATTCAAATCCATATAAGATTGTTATCACTATGGTAACCTAATGAAGTATGACGCATATCGTGTAGAGTAGTTAGTGAAATGCTCGACAGGCGGCAGCGCTTACCGGCGAACGTTCTTGAAATCTAGTAGTCCCGCGGTTGGAAGAGTGGCGTACATTCGGTCGCGTCCATTAATTTGACCATGTAATTCGAATTATCATGTTCAGTTAATAAAATAATGATTAATACGAGATTATTGCTTGTTATATTTGTTTTGTGTCTTCGAGAAAGGGTATACGAGTTACGAAATTCTTTATTTATGACGAGGAAGGGTGTTGCGGTATCACTAATATCACGACGGGTAACGAGACAGCGTGTAGTGTGTAGTTCAGTTCAGTTCAGTTCAGTTCAGTAATTCTTTATTTACCATATGAAGGGTGCTTTCGCTCTGTCAATATCACCACAAAAGATCGAATATCCACAAGATTCATCGTTGGGACATCTGTAGAAAGGAACGCACGGGACGTAGCACATAAATGACAGGTAAGCAGTGTCGAGTATCAGATACTTTATAGAATTTTTTTTAAATAAGCGTTTATAAGACAATTTCCAAGTCAAAGTTCGTATTTTGTTAAAAAAATACTAATATGGGACAATTAAGCGTCATAATTTTATTAATAAAGGTTTTCGCATACATACTGGTATAAAACATACGCATTATTAGAACAAAAATACATACAAGCCGTGAAAACGGTGTTCACGATAGTATATATATATATGTATATATATATTTTTCATTTATAAACTATAAATATGACAAATTGGATCGATCTCTTTGTAATATGTAACAAAACCAATGGAACTGAAACGTATATATATGTATATAGTTAGTTGCACGAATATGTTAAATCGTTTAGAGATGGCATCGAGTTCTCCCGTAGAATTTATGCGATTAGGTCTAACTGTAAGAAATTCTCGTAAAATTCACGCATCGTAGAGCCGATTGACTTTCACGAAAGTCTCTCATTCCGAAAGTAAGATCACGTTCCGCCTTCCGTAATAATCACGTCATGGTTCATAATATGATACACTCGTACGACATCTAAAAAACATTAGTTCACATCGTCCGAATCTTGTCGCCATTTTTGAGCTGCCTCTCGCCTGGCATCGGGTACTAATTGTGACTGCATGCCACCTAAAACGTTGCTGGTCGCTTCAGTAGCCAGAATTATCGGCTTCACGACCGTTGGAGGTATCTGTCGTAAAACACCTCCCACAGCACCAGAGACTCCTTTTTGTTCGTGTTCCTCGCTGGCCACACGAACTAACTGATTCGCCGTTTCCTCCAGACCCTAAAACACGAATCCAACGTGTTAATAGGCGAAAGAGATTAGAAAGAATTCAATACCACACCTCCTTCACTAGCATATAAGCGTTGGCCATTCCTTCCCGAATATCCGACGGCTGGCTATATCTTTTCCGACGTCCTTTCTGTCCCCTGCGCTTATGCCTGACGCTGGGACCGGGGCTGACCATATCGTAAGCCGTCTCGGCAGTACTTTGTATCGCGTATATCAGTTTCGACGTTAATTCCAACGCCGCCATCGCGGTGGAAGTCGTAAAACTGTTCGCCCCACGCTGTAATCCTCTGATGATTCTACCATCCTTCTGGTATTGTTCGATAGGCAACCAAAACAAGTCTCTTATCCCCTGAACTGTAATCAAGACGAGTGACGATGTTTTGCGTGCCGTTACGTGAAAACAGGGCGATTCGAACGTATACTTACACAATTGTACTAACGAGTATATAGGACCCACGCCGCCGAGCAGGCTTGGAAGCTGATTTTTCTTTATGTCTTGCAACCATTCGGATAGTAAAAACGTTATTAACTTGTCGAATCCCAAAAGTCCGTGCCGATGTGTCAATCTTTTCAGTCTTAATTCAGAACAGTTTAATTGCGCCAGACCCATTAAAAGGCCTGCTAACGGCCCGTGAGTAAGGTCTACGCGCTTTCCGTGATAATCTAATCTAACAAGGACTTCGGGCGAAAATATCACACTCCTGGCACAAAAAATTCGAATTTTAACACGACTATTCCTTAAATTTCTGATAATTCTGATCATATATCTCACCTAAAATAGATGGGCTGCCCATCCTCTTGAACTTCCTGCGTCGGCTTCACGTTCACTTTACTCTCTTTAATCATTAATTCGTCTTCCAACATTATCAATAAATTCGGGTCTATCACGTCGTTTTGTGACAGATTCATCGGCGTGGAATCATTAGGCACGGTATCGTTCACACTCATGACCGGTGGCTGATGGATCGGTGTCCCTTGTTTGGATACCGGGGAGGATTGCGGGTTATTGGCCGTACTAACATTCTCTTGAGTCTGCTTCGAACCACCGCCCAGTTCGTTAAAGAATTCTATCAAGAACAATAGACTGTCTTGATCGATATTTAATCGCAACGGTAGTAGGCTGAGCTTTAAACAGCACTCTTGAGCACTCAATTTCGGGTCCGGTCTGACGTGGACCGCTTTCATCGAGAACATGTTAGCGTGGGACTGCTTAGGTCTCGCTTCGCTGCTATATTGGTATAAGAACTTGTTGATATGCGAGGATGCCAATCTGTCTCGAATCTCGATCTCGTCTATCAATAATATCTGTCTCGCCGCTTCCGTTGTATCTTCCGGATAGACTTCGTGCTGAAAACGCACTTTGTTCAACTGAAGCTCCATTAGGACGTTGTGGCAACGGCCAGGTCCTCCCATCGCTTGCCAGTCGGTCGTTTCCTTACAGATTTTAAGAGGCGAATTCGGCGCGCTACCAAAGTGCACCTCGTTCGGACTCGACTTGTTGAACGTCACTCCGCCGCAACACGGTAATCTAGTTCTGTGCGAAGAACTGTAAATACATTTAACTCGTGTTCGTTCACAAATCGATACGTACTTATCCAAAGGTGCTGTGTTAGGACGAAGCGTGTCCTCCTTGATCACGACGTGCTTCTTGACTGTTTGCGGAGTTTCAAAGTCTTTCCCTCCGTACATGTGCCATACCAGAGTCATCTCGCAAAGAGTGTACCTCAAAATTGGCGGCGGGAAGTGCCTCGGCGCTCTGAGCTGATCGGTCTTTCCAAGCGGCACAGCGAAGTGATTATCTACTATCCTTAAGGATTCTTGGCACAGCCAACGGATTTCGGGAACACCGTGCCTAGGCATGATTCCCGTTCCAGCCTCTTCGCCTAATATACAAAAATCTTCGTTCGGATCCTCGGAATCTATATTACATTCCGCATTTGCGTATTGCTCGGGACTTTTATACATCTCAGGTACTGTTTGCGAGGGAGGATGAGATTCGTCGGGGAAGAAGAACACTTCTACCTGATTCTCGGTCGCCACCGTGCTACTGTCGGTACTCGACGGTCCTGCAACACAATTTCTCACCTGTTCAAAAGTTTGATTCTCTCCATTATTCAAGTTTTACCTTTTACTGTTTCTTCCATTGCTTCTTTCATCAAATCGTTCACGCGCTCGACTTGGCTCTTGCTCAGAGTGTTGATACACTCGTCTCCGAGGAGACTTTCCTCGTCGCCAGAACTGGACACCTTGGTAGTACTGTCGGTCACTTCCGCGGCTGGTAACAAGTCCCCGTCGTTCGCAAAGTAGGTCAACAACTGAATAAGTGCACGCCCGGAGTCTGAACAAGTTCTCACGTGCAACACGTTGTTGCTTGCCCGCAAATCGATTCGCGGCGAACCGCCGCACATCTTCTCGTTCAGCTTCAACGATAGCTCAAACAGGCCAACGTCCATTACGCATACGTAGTCCTTCTTTAAATCGACGGTCTTTCCTAATTTGTTAGATATGAACAACGCGATGTCTTCGGCTATGAAACGCAAAGTCGAAGTGTTTGTATGCGCCGCGATGTTGCTGGACACGCTGAAATTGCCAAGAGTCACTGCCGATCTCAGTGGCAAATGAACCGGCCTAAAATCAAACAATTTTCATTATTATTTCGTCGCTACATTTCCGGGCCAAATCTGTCCGAATAAAAACCTGTAATCGATCATGCAATCCCAGAGGTGCAAGTGCAGTTCCGTTAATATTCCCGGCGGGGCGTATCCGGCCACGGGGTGATCGGCCACGTCTAAACAATCCGTCAATTGCGTGAACCACGACGTACCAGTGAGACACATTCTATGCCTCAACGTGGCGTTCGTTATGCCCACCGCTACTCTGAAAGTCTATTTCAAAACGAGTTACAATCAAGATTAATCTCCTCCGTTTAGGGATGTAACCGACGCAGAACAAACTTTGATACGATGAGTTTGATGAGTAGACTGTATCCGGATAGCAAGCATCAACATGTCCTTATCATTGTTGGTTATCCCCAATGCGTCCGCGCTCGATTCATTTTTATATATAACCGCTTGATAATGTCGCGGCGTGCTGCTATTGATAGGTCTCAGCGAAGGTGGCTGCGAGGGAGTCGTCGTTAATCCGTAATGATCCACGGACAGTTGTTTTATCATGGCGCAGACGTAGCCAAGATTCGAATTCCCATTATACGCGGTCACCGAAAATATCGTCGCGTCTTCTAGTCTGATCATCAATTCGCCTTGTTGTCCGGGTATCACGTTGCGCATCGAATCGCGAACGGGGCTGTACATGCAGAGGAGACCTTGATCTATATTCAAAATTAGTGCTAGATTGCTCTGGCCGCTCCTAGACATTTTGCTCTGATGCTGCCTATAACTTTTGTCGGCCGCGGAACGAAATATACCGTCCTCCTCCTCCTCCGAATCTGATTCCGTATCGTACTGCATCCTGTTTTTGCACGAGCTAAATCTAAAATAAATGCCTCGTTCATGCGACGAAACGTTCACATACAGTGAAGTTCCTGCATATTTGTATACATTTCAAAATTGCGTATTTTTTTAATATTGGACTTGCGAGTTAATGTTTGTTTAAACATTGTAGAGATTAATTTACTCTATGATGTGTAACAAAAGACAGTTGCTATACGTCGGACTTGCAGAGATAGAAGTTGGAATTTTATTCTCTAATAAAAATCTAAAGCATGTTTCTATGTTTCAATATTAAAAAGTTACTCAACTTTGAAATATGTACGAATGTTGATGTCACTGTAGATTCGGTTATATAGAAACGGTGCTTACGTAGGATGAACAGATTCTTGTAGCAAAGTAGATGCTAAATCAAGACCTATGTGATTCTCCATGTGAGTCTCGTATTTCGGCCTCGGAGCCGACGATTTCCATAAAAACAGATCAGTATTGAATCTATTGTACAGCAATTCGTATAGATGTTTCGATGGTATCTGGACGGAAACGCAGGGGAAATTCATTTCCAATTGTATTCTGGAACTACGAATGCCTCCGTCCATGAACTCCAGCATCTCTTCTCGGTTGCCAGGTATAATCAGCTCCTCACCCTCTCTGTTGAGAAAATCCTGAGATTACGTTTCCCGTTAATAGAGGTATCAGGAACCATGGGACAAACCTTTGCTCCGGATCTTCCTTATCACCTTGCGTGTGGGGTCTAGAATGAGGCGTATCGGATTCGTGAATAACACGCTTCGAGCTGAACGGAGACGGTTGATGCTTAGGCGCATTTTCCAAACTATCATCGAAACTGGAATCTTGTTCTCCTTCGGAACTCTCTTCCAGCTGACCGCTTAAACGTTGCGGGTAAATCGTGATGACGATGCTAGCCAAACCGAACACCTCGTTATCTTGCTGACACGAAGCATTATTCTTTTCTTCGTCGATACTGATGTTCCCGATGTTTAACGGAACATCCGTTTCCGTTTCCGCGTACGAGAACATCAACTGTTGGAACTGAATCTCGTGCTTCGTTACGGAGTGAGGGTGATTCTTTATGATCGAATGAATTTGTGCATTCTTCAGCTTCAAGATCATGTAATCCGTTCTCACCGACCTCTTCCACCAAGGCGCCCGATTCATATCGTGTAAAGGTCTTAAATCTGGTATTGGAAACCTATTTTTAAATTGTTGCTCGTTAAGTATTTTACGATTCCGATAGAGCATCATTGTTTCCGCATATGTCAATTACCTTAATTTTATTGTACATTTCGAGGAGGAAACGTTTATAACGGCAGCGAAATCTGACAAAGCGGGACTTTCCACAGCCTGGTAAAATAGAGTTTGCTGATTCTGAAAGTTACGTAACGAGAGAACAGGGGCAACTTTGTAGTTTTACGAGTGCTTATATAAGAAAATTGATAACTTACAGTACTCCTATTATTAGATACGGGATTACAAACGCAAATGGGCTGCGGGTTCAGCAGAGCACATATTCTATCTACAATTGTTATATCGATTTCGATGTTACAAGGTTCCAGTTCAATGCTAACAAAGAGATCAAATATGATTAATTAATTCGCATTTCACGATGCGCAATAGACACGCATTCATGTGGGTAAACTTACTCTATTTCTGTACACGGATGTGTACTTTTCATTAATTGAGCATGTCGAGAATTCGGAACGTCCTCCACGTGTTTAAATTTCATTTTAAAGCCCGTTTTATTGGTAAAACCAAAGTTAGCCGAGTTCTTTTTTGCGAAAGTAAGCAGCTCCACGAATTCCATTGATGGCGGCTTACTCTCGGTAGAATTATTCGAATCGATTAAGCATTCTACAACTTCTAAGCTAGCTAAAGTTAATGTTCCGGACACTGTAGAAGACAGTGCGGTGTTCTTTTCTCGTCCCTCGATCACTAGTGGTGCAGCGAGCAATCTATAAAATCGGAGAGCATTGATTAAACCTTTCGCGTCTCTCGATCTACGATCCATACCTGATGTGACTCAAGTGACAAGCATCCAACAGTACTTTCGACGCTTTATCAAAATCCTTGTTTCCGTATCCACCAGCTGCGAACATTCCCAATTGGTTGAAAAATTCGTCTGCCGAAGTTTTCATTTGCTGTATACTAGAACACGTGAGACCGCCTCCCTCTACGCACGTCGTTAATATATCTTCGTGCAGCAGGATCACAGCTATGGAAGATACCCTGACATGGAAATGGGACGTTTCCACGGAGGCAGCATTGTCCGCCCCATGCTTATGCTTCTGTTGCTTTGGTAAATTTGTTGCTGAATTCTTTAAACTAATACTACTGGACAATGTACTCCCGTCCATGCTAATATTGTTGCTCGTAACCGAATCGCTCATCGACGTGGAGCCCTGCAATCGCATTGGCAAAAATTCATCTTCGTTATCCGATTCGTCCAAGGATGCCGTTGACCATCCTTGCGTATGCCTCAGATCCTGTAATTTTTTAATTATTACTTTAATTCTCAAATTATATCACGCCAGAATTGTTCATGATAATATATATTACCATAGAACGTAATCCTTGAATCGGATGTATTTGATGAATGAGTTCCCGTTCGACCCGATTAAAATCGCTCCCAGCCATTGGTTTCTCAGCGCAGTGTCTCGGAGCAACGTTGCTGACGTCCTCTAAATCGGGAGAGGCAAGTCCGTGCCCTAATTCCAACAACACGTGCACCTGTCGCGGACTTAAAAACGAAGTAAACGATCCCAGTGTCACTTCTAATTCTACCTAGAGTAATTAGTTCTCTTTTACTTCACGTTACAATGAACAATCTTTCCAGAACGAAATTTTACCTTTGGCCCTGACACACCTTCCCCTTGCTTCAATTTCAATCTTATCTCCTGTCTGCCCGCCAACTTGGCAAACATTATAGGATTCGATTCGCTTAAATTGTTAATAATGTTCCGCTCCGGAGGAGTTTGAGTGTTTTGATTCGGGGATATTTGTGCAGAAGAAAATTGGCCATCCGAATTCTGTGAGGAACAACATTTTTCTCAAATATCCTTCTTGCTAAATCTATAGAAAAAAAGAGATATTTACTTTTGAATCTGGCGTAGAGCCCCTGCTCGTCGTTATGATACTTCTAGAGAAAGTTCTTGCACGCGAAGGAAATTCGTCCGTGTGGAAGGTTACCCCTTCTAAACAGAAGCGTTTCGTCGTGAACGCGGACACGACGTATCCTTTCGTTGACTGACTAGGATCTAACGAAGTACTGCTTGGATCTAAGCCTGCTTCGTCTGAATATTCAAGGTTCTTTATACACATTTCTATTGCGACGCCAGTCGAAGAGTCCAGTGGCACATGTTCCAAACGTATTATAGTGTCTATAAATCTTACTTTCACCCTACATAAAACTAAAACAAAGAAATCATCAATTTCTATGGAGCATCGAAGAGTAGATCATTGCAGTAAAACCTTACTCGAATCTATAGTTTGTGCAAATAGTTCAACCCCTTCTAATGGTTGAGAATTTCCAGCATTTTTTGCATCTTCTTGTAAACATTCCTGTGCAAGCTGCATGCTGGACGTCATTGAGCTCCACATGGATTCGAACATGGAAGTTCCACTTTCTGCTCTTTGCCTCGGTTGAACTGTTAATCTTAAACTAGTTACTTCAACGAAACTAGCTTCACTGAGCAGACCTGACCATGGTATACTAATGGACATTTCTGATATAAAACCGTCGACAAATTCCAATGGGAGATGTTGCTGCTCTCCCATTTCATTGAGTGCCTGTTGCAATCAAATTGATAGATGCACATTTCTTTCTTTACTTCGGCATTAATCTAACACTAAATGTGGTGAATTTACAAGGACAATAATCAGGAATAATTGGTTCGTCTCTATGGCTCCTAGCTGAGAGGTAACAAAGAGATTTGAAACAAAGAAAATGACAGTACCTGTACATCAAGGCTAACATTGGTTACACGACCAGTACCATTGTAAAGGTCTACAGTGAGCTGATCGAGCGTCAATTTCTCCTCCAAAAATTGACCGAGATATCGTTGTAAAAGATATCTGCAGGCCCGTTTCTTGATCCCTTGAGACCAGGGAAGGCATCCCAACCAAGACATTTTCTACCCACGTTTGAGAATCTAATCTATGAAAGGCATGGGATTTTCTTTGTAACACTTTTACTTTAGGCCTGTTATTCGGGCACGGTGATGGAGAAACAATTGATCCACGTGAATTCCATCGTTCCAACACGTGTCCACTTTAGTGCAATGATCTTCAACATAATACGATGATTCGGATGTAACGGGGTTCTAGCTGCGTAATGTTTTCCTTCGGATGCACTACACACGCACACGTACACATACAAACCTGATCATCGTACGGACACTGTCAACCGAGGCACTGGTGTCTCATTGAGGGAATCAGCTGATTATAGAGAGAGAGAGAGAGAGAGAGAAAGAGAGGGCAGTGGAGGCGCCGAAACTTACGTTTATCAATAATCTTATTAAAATTTTCTACAATTATCGACAAAGGTTCGAGCTCCTATGCTTTCTGTCCATAATATTTAAATCCCATCACGTTGAATTTTCCACGCCTTTTCCGAGTTTATCAACAAAGATGTATTATTGCTACATCTTTTTATTTGCAATATAATTAAAAAATGCGCAGATTAAACGTACGAGTTCACATGTCAAGCTATTGTATAAGTTAATTTTGTCGAAGAAGTATTGTAAGAGAGGAAAGGAAAAATTTAGCTCAGAGGAACAAATGAAAATTTTATGAATGATTCATTCTGTATTATAATATTTTCTGTTTTTTCTCGGTACAGGGTCGTTGTTTGAACACTGTCAAAAGTGTTGTCTATATAGTGTTGTCCAACTTTCGCGCAGTTCCTTCGACCCCGTTGATCCTTTGTTCATGTCGTTAATAAACATTAATAAATAAATAAACATGAACGGCGTGAATCACTGATGAGATTCGGGACGGATGTTTCCGCGCATGCACTGCGAATTTAGCGTCCTTCTAATAAATAATTAAAAATAGGAATAAATGTAGACAAGTAAAAGTATAATACATTAAGAACGATCAGATGTTCATTTCTCTTTATATATTGCATGGATACATTGTGCATTATGCAAATTTTATAATCATTTTACTGTAACGCTACTGCAAACGACGCGCGTGCGTGATACAACCCATCCAAGTGTCATCACGAATGTGAAGTATGCAAAATGCAGGGCAGCCCGATCCTGCCCAATGCCAGCCTGCTTGTCTATAGGTAGTTTCTGCTGCTATGTTCAGAGTCGTTTCTGTTCATTCAAGAAATTGAAATGCGTAGACGATGTGTCACAGAAGAATTGTTCAATACTTAATTAATTAGAAATTAAGGATTTCATTCTGTTCTCTCAAGAATATCGTGAAAATTCTTATTGTCCGAAAAATGGCACTAACCAACGTCTTACTTCTGAGCCAAATTTCTGGATACGTCGTGGCTCTCGTCTTGTCACTTTGTATCGTCATACCAATGAGCTTGCATCAGGATGAATTTAGGTAGCTGTCGTTCTCAAAACGAAATATACATTGAGATGCAAATAGAAGCAGAACGTGTACGTAATGGAGTTCTCTTAATGTCTGTTCGCAGAGGACACTGTCTACTATTTTCGACAGGAAAGTGGCAAGAGTCAGACGGTCAGATTGTAGTAAACTGGGCTTCGCAAGCTTATTGTAATTATACTATATTCGTTGGTTTACTATTGCTGCTAGTGTCTGCTGTACAGATCTACAGACTTTCTCTATACATGTACCGTGGCGAAGACAGTTCTTTTTTATCAGCATTCATAGATGTTGTCAGTTCGATATTTCTCACAATGTTCACGTTAATCGCTGCGATTATTATCACTCTTGGATTTATGACTTGGTGTCAGTGTATGACAAAACGATTCCCCTCTTGTGAGTTGGCAGCTGGAAATGATATCGATAAAGCTGATGGTATAGACACATCTGGTTTTCATATTGAACTGGGTGCCGCTCAATTTGGTGCTTGGTCCAGTTTGTCTATTTGGGTTGGCCTCTCAGTGTTTGCTGTGTTGAAGCTGTTAAGGTACCACCAGTTAGAGAACATGAAGGTTTCTATGTACAGGGAAAGGCAAAGATTAATAGAAGCTGCCAAGAATAATGAGGTACAGGATATATCTTAAAATGGCATTCTTTATATCCCCGATTAATCTGCTCCTTGAAAAGAATCATTTGTATCATACGACAGTTTTTTAAACGCACACTGTATAATTGTATAATATAACTCTTAAGTTATTAAGATGATAAATGATTGTATTTATGACGAAAGTAGTTACGATATGTCGACACGTTTTGTCTTTATACATATCGAGGCCGTATTATGTTACAACTTGTAGTTTTCGTAATTATTCAAGCTCGATGTACGATAATAATTTATGATTTTTCTTAATACCGCTTAATTTAGACGACATTAATGATTTGTTAAACCAAATATATTTTATTCCTGCATTACATATTTTGTACATACAATGTGAAAAATTGTATAATAA